TATCGTTAGTGTTCTTTTTTTACCTTAACTTCTGACACGGTTACGATAATTTTTCTTTTAAACACTTCTTAACACCATATTTAACAATTATCGGGTTGAGTTTTTTTTCTAAAAAGTCGGGTTACGTCTTAAAATAAAATATATAATGACTTTAAAAAAGTTACTATACTCAACCCGATTCGTGTCATTACTTATACTTTATTATTACATAAAATATATTGTATATCACTTACACCAAAAATTTAAATAACGTAGACAAATTTTAATATACATATCACTTATATTCATATACATATTGATTGTGTAAGCCCATACTTACTTATATATGTAACAATATTTAATTTAAATCTATGAAGCAATAATACAGCCTACATATTTTAAGCAGTTGAATATTGTTATAAAATTTGTTTTAAATGATCAAAATTCTAATTTTATAGATAGTTAAGTTCTTTAAGAGTTATTAAACAACTGACACCATTGTCATCGGAAAAAGATAGTCTTTCTACTTGCAGTATTCTTATCATCAGCTTTGTTAGCATTTTTTCTAGTATTAAGTCCGCCGCTGAGTGCACTAAATTTAATTTCGGCTATTATTGTCTATGAAATAGTTTTATAAATTGCACCTTTTTCATCCAATTCTAGGTACGTGGACTGGTTATTTTAAATTGATCAAATGCTAGAATGTTATATATCATTAGAAAGCCCTCAAATACAGTATTTTAAAGATGAAAAAATTATGAAAATCAGACTATTCTATAAAAAGTTATAGCGTTTTTAGTAGCAAATTTTCGATATATGGATTTCTTGATAAAACTGTGGTCAAAAAAATTTTTTTTTTCATATAAATTATTATAACTTTGCCAATTCTTATTCACTTATCTATAACTTGGTTTCAAAAGATAGATGTAAAAATGGGCTATAATTTGAAACTAGTTTATAGGTAAAAGGCGCATCGAGGGATCCGGAGGGGGTGCTAATCCACCACCTACACCTCACAAAAATACACTATTTTTTCATAATAGTGTTTTTTTTTTTAAGAAATTCATAATATTTACATACAACAAACTGTTTTTAGTTTATTCCACATCACTTGCAAATATTACAGGTCTATCTCAAAGTTGGGTGTTGGGTTGTGGTGAAGGTTTAACACACCCTATCAAAATTTCATTCTTTTAAATACTACAATCTTTACTAAAATGATTAAATCTATTATAAAAATAAAAAATATATTTCAACACTTTAAAAAATAGTAAATAGTAGTGTATAAATTGCTTTATGGAAGAGGGCGTATGCCGCCCCCCCTTCCGCCCCTAAAAAAAAAAATTTTTCATGAAAATTTCACATAAATTGTTAAAATGCTTTTTTAAACAGAGAGAAATTAGTAAGTATAAAAAACTATTTTGCCGCATTACAAGATGCGTCTGAGTATCCATTTTGTCTATCTTAAAGTTGGGTGTTGGGTTGTGGTGAAGGTTTAACACACACCTTCAAAATTTCATTCTTTTAAATATTACCAATTTTTTCTAAAACGATTAAATCTATTATAAAAAATAAAAAATATATTTCAACACTTTAAAAAATAGTAACTAGTGGTGTATAAATTGCTTTTATGGAAGAGGGCGTATGAGACTTTCCCTCCCCCGTCAGCCCCTTAAATTTTTTTTCAAATGAGAATTTCACAAAAAATGTTGAACTGCCTTTAAACAGAGAAATTAGTATAAAAAACTATTTTACCAAACTACAAGATGTGTTTGAGTATCAATTTTGTCATGCAAAAGGACTAATTACCCACTCCAACCTAAAAAAAACAACAGAAAAACAACAAGTCTTTTGAAATATAAAATTTAATGATTTTTTGTCTTGGCTTTTAGTGAATGATTTAATTTTAAAATTCCATTTATGAAAAAAATTGAATCATTTTCAACAATAGACACCACGTGAAGGTAAGCCAGAGCTGTCTATCAAAAAAATTCGCAAGCTAAAAAACTTGCAGTACTCTTTTTGCAAGAAAAAAACATGCTGTACCATATTTGCAAGCTACAAAACTTGCGGTACTCTTTTTGCAAGAAAAAAACTTGCTGTACCATATTTGCAAGCTACAAAACTTGCGGTACTCTTTTTGCAAGAAAAAAACTTGCTGTACCATATTTGCAAGCTAAAAAACTTGCGGTACTCTTTATGCAAGAAAAAAACTTGCTGTACCATATTTGCAAGCTACAAAACTTGCGGTACTCTTTTTGCAAGAAAAAAACTTGCTGTACCATATTTGCAAGCTAAAAAACTTGCGGTACTCTTTTTGCATGAAAAAAACTTGCTGTACCATATTTGCAAGCTACAAAACTTGCGGTACTCTTTTTGCAAGAAAAAAACTTGCTGTACCATATTTGCAAGCTACAAAACTTGCGGTACTCTTTTTGCAAGAAAAAAACTTGCTGTACCATATTTGCAAGCTACAAAACTTGCGGTACTCTTTTTGCAAGAAAAAAACTTGCTGTACCATATTTGCAAGCTAAAAAACTTGCGGTACTCTTTTTGCAAGAAAAAAACTTGCTGTACCATATTTGCAAGCTACAAAACTTGCGGTACTCTTTTTGCAAGAAAAAAACTTGCTGTACCATATTTGCAAGCTACAAAACTTGCGGTACTCTTTTTGCAAGAAAAAAACTTGCTGTCCCATATTTGCAAGCTAAAAAACTTGCGGTACTCTTTTTGCAAGAAAAAAACTTGCTGTACCATATTTGCAAGCTACAAAACTTGCGGTACTCTTTTTGCAAGAAAAAAACTTGCTGTACCATATTTGCAAGCTACAAAACTTGCGGTACTCTTTTTGCAAGAAAAAAACTTGCTGTACCATATTTGCAAGCTACAAAACTTGCGGAACTCTTTTTGTAATGCATGTATATTATTTTCATATTCAAATTAAGAAAATATTAGTTCTCCTGTTATAACATCAGCAGCAAGCTGTATTTTTTTCATCTTATATTCAACAGCTTCGATATCAGTTTCATCTTGTTTCCAGTAAGAAATAGTGTAAACTCTATCCTGTTGCCTCTTATTTACTTTTTCTACTCTCCCATCATAAATAACTGTCTTTGAATAGTTGGCAACATACCATTCATGACAGAGTTTTCTTCCAACTATTCTTTCACACATAACATCATCTAAATCATCAAGTTGCTTGACAGATAAGTTTTTATATAAATTCATAATTTCGCTGGTAGTTAATTTACATAGCTCACGCTCTAACTTTTTTTTTTGTTTTTCGTCCATTTTTTGGCGTTTAAACACCTGTCTACCAGTAATCTCTACTCGAATTTCATTATGTAGTAGTCGAGTTCTCATTCTTTTTTTACGTGCCATGTAAATAGACCACTTAACTACCTTTACTCTGGAAACAACGTCAAGATTATCGAGATAATCTATAGTCCTATTCTTTTTGGATCTTAATTTGCTAGATATATAACAAATTGTTGCATTAGGACATCGTCCTTTGGCATCACTAAACATACCAATTAACTCTTCGCTATCTATATTGTGAAGCCTTGCACTAGCTGTCTCCGTCTTGAGTGCCGCTGTAATGGAAAGGGAGAAATATCTCTTATATTGACGAGTCAAGACTTCTTCAACTGCATTAAGACAAGCAGAAGTCATTTCAACAAGTTGGTCATCGATAGGGCATAAATTTGTAATAGATTTTAAAATACTTGGTTCAAGCATGGTTCCGAAAAAATCCATCTTGCTGCAAAATAGTGCAGCTGAATTAGATTTGCAATTAGTAATTTCTTTCAAAACATTTTTTACTACCTGGATACCAGTGACATGATCAAAACTTGCATTATTTGCAGATACATAAAACTTAGTCATTCATGGCCCACTGAGAAGTTTACTTAACAGCGCAAGCACTCCCATTTGTTTTATAGCAGTTGCGTTACAAAAGGCTTCTCGCAGAATTGGTTGTAAACTGAAACATTTTACAGTTCCAGTGGTAAGATAATGTAGAAAATTAGTATAGTGTTTCATAAAAATGAAACAAGTATGGAAAAGAATGTGCAAACGGTTTCCACGATACCGTGGAATAATACCTCGCGGGAGTTTGTTATTGTCTAAAAAATTTACAAAACCTTGTGGATCACCTTTGCCATCTTTAAATCTCATCTTGTTCATTGCTAACACAATTTTGACTGCCATACAATCATACCCAAACAATTCACAACGTTCAATTTCTAGAGATTTTAAGACTTCGCAACATGAAATGGCAATTGTGTCTAGAGGGTGCAAATGACAGTTTAACTCATTCAAATTCTTTCCCCAGGTATTACAAATTTTGGAAATAGTAAGATGGTTAACTGATACTCTGTCAGACATTGTGTTGGATATATTTGATATGATTGAACTACGACATTCATTAAAGGGAAGCAAGTGAAAATCTGAATATATAAAAGCTAAATGATCAATTGCACCACATATATGGCTTTCATAATCAACAGCTGTTCCACCTGGTAACTGGTCCAGAGCAATGACCTGACAGTTGTTTTTAGATGTAAGATGAACAGTGTTAATATGAACACCTTCTTGAGTTGTTGCATCAAATCCAAGAGTAAGATGAGAATTACTCATAGCCCATTCTGCTGCTTGCAATTCTGCTATACTGCCAAGCTCACGAGCCATTTGCTCAATAGTACAACGATGAGGAATATCTGTAAAGTTAACACCCAAATATTGCCCAATTTTTGAAATTAGGAATCCTATGTTACCAGATGGAACATTAGCTAATAACATGCCATAGATTATCATCCTCATTTGTAAAGGGTAAGTCTTATCACCATCTGACATATTCACATTTGGAATTTTCCCCTCTTTTATCTGACTTATATCATTTTCTAATTGAGCAATAAACATTTTATTTGCGCTAATATTAGTATTATTTTTTACTTTTATTTGCATTAAGTTTTGTTTTTCTTTTACTTTTAATGCCTTTGTTTTCGCTTTAGGTTTGTGAATTAAGCTCTTGTATGTTTTAATTTGTATGTTTTAATTTCTTTTTTTAGTTCTCTAACTTCCGCCCTCAAAGCTTTAATAATGTCTTCTTTCCTTTTGATGTTTTGCCTGAATACTTTTAACTTATATGGCATGCTATTATATTTTGATTTAAGTTTTGCTATTTTTTGTCTGTGGTCTCTGGTTGAGCTAGCTAACTGAGAAGATAAAAATGATAACCTAGTAATAAGTTTGGCTTTCTTTGGGGTTAGTTCTTCTCTAGATGCATGCTTTCCTGTTTCATTTTTTATAGATTTTACAGGCAAGATTGGTTCGTCATTAACTAGGGGTAAAATAGCAATATGTTCTTGGGGCAAAAGAACAGAAGTCTCTGAAACTGTAACCAATGAATGACTCTTATTAAGATGCATTGCCTGTTTCAATGACACGCTTGGTGCATGGTATGCAAAGGGCTGATTACAAAATTCAATAAATTTTGAACAATCTCTTACATAATTGGTAGTCCATTTTTTTGAAATATTAATAACATTATAGAGTTTATGCTTACTAGTTTTTAAGTTAAATAAGTCATTGACTAGTTTAAGAGTATTACCAATTGACTCACCATTATTAGTGAATAAGTAGATGACATGTCCATTTTTACAGTGTGTATGTATTTCGCCATGCAAAGTGAAGTTTTCAGCCAAATAGTGTTTCACTGCATCCTGAAACACACAGCCACTATTTTTTGGACCCATAGTTCCTTTAAAAAGTATATATAAAGAGTTAATACATTTTAATTTAAATTTTGTGAAAAGTAAACAAACAATATATAGCATAATCTGTTAAGAATTGATAACATAACACAACATGTAAAAATATTTCGAAAATAAAATAGACTTAAAAAAATGTCATGCATACCTTCGACAAAAAAGCGATGGTTAAATAAAACCAGTATTTCAACCTCAATATTGGTAATATAATTTTTAGGAACTGTAAACATAAGTTATTTTAGTTTAAGATCAAAAACTGTTACTAAAGTCAAACAAACAGTTTAAATAAAATAAGAATAATGAATAAGTATTTAAATGACACTTCACATTTATCAACATTTACAATATTACATAAATCTAGCATTGCATTTAATATGGGCTTTAAATTCCTCCAAATATTCTAATTGTATTTAATAGTCTATAACAATCTGTAGTTGCAACTTTACTACTTTTTATAACACAAATTTTAATTTCATTTTTAGCATAACAAATCATTTTTAAATTATTTTAGGTAAAAAATTAAAAAATAAAAAATAAACATGTTAGTAATTGTAAAAATTGGGACAAAAGGAAAAACAAACTTGCTGATAATATATATTTTGTATATACAAAGGAATGGTGGCGCCTAGGCAAAATACTTTTTTTTAATAATTGTGGTGAATGCCACCATTCACCACCGTACCACCACCATTCCGCCTTTGTCTTCGACCTCCTCTGCTGCCACGACCTCTACCGTTGCCCCTTCTGCTTTTGCTCCCAGCATTCCTGTTAGGAGGATGATAGGGCCATCTAAACAACTCATCATCCTGCCCTCCTAATTCAACCCACCGCAAAAAGGAACGGTTGCTGGTGGGTCCAGGATGCTGGGACCTATATCTTCGATAGACTTGATATGTAAGCTCTAAATGAAAGTTACAAAGATTAGTACTGAAGGCGTTATATAAAATTTTTATAAACCAATTACTTGTAAAAGTGATTGGCTGAATAAATAAAATAAACAATTTATAAAACAACGATAGCTTCACAAATGTTAGTTAATATGAGTGAAAATGCTATACTGCTAATTCAGTTAATACAAGTGAAAATGAAATACTGCTAATTCAGTTAATACAAGTGTAAATGAAATACTGCTATTGATTCTCCTTCTACGTCACTTTTAGGGATAACATAATACCAATAAATTAAATAGTGTATAAATAGAAATATTATGAATTCAATAATCATTCAGAAACATTTCTAAACCATAAATTTACCAGCAGAAGGTTCAACTTGTAAAGGTTGTGGAACTAAAGGTAAAAAAAGTTGTATTAAAATTTAATTTTTTTTGCAATTGATAAGAAAGACACATATTAGAAATTAAAAAATAAACAACTAATAAATCAATGTTTATTTAAAAAATGGTAAAGCCAGTAAAAAATTAAATACTGTTATTGATTCTCCTTCTATGGCACTTTTACGGATAACATAATACAAATGTATTAAAAAGTGTATATAAATAGAAATATTATGAACTCAATAATCATTCGGAAACATTTCTAAATCAGAAATTTACCAGCAGAAGGTTGTGAAGGTTGTGAAGAAGGTTGTAAAGGTGGAACTAAAGGTAAAAAAAAAAGTTGTAATAAAAATTTAATTTTACTTGCATTTGATAAGAAAGACATACACATATTTAAAATAATAGTTTTACAAACACATTACGCATACACATATAAGAAAATAATAGGTTTTAAACTTACTGCTTGTAGCAGCTGCAGATACAACTAAAGGTTAACAAAGTTTTTATTAGAAATAAATATTACAATTTTTGAAAAATGCGTAAACATATTAAAAAAAATAGTTTGTCATCATACCAGTTGCAGCCGATGTAGATGGAACTAAGGTTAAAAAAGGAGTAATAAAAAATAAATATTGCAGTTGATGTGAAATACATATATGAACAAGTTTTTTGTAGTATATAATAAAAACATTTTTTAACTTACCACTCAATGCAGCTGCATATGGAACTAAGGTTTAAAAGTTTTGATTAAAAATTAATTTGCAATTATACATATACATATATATATATAATATAATAATACATATTAAAAAGTAATAATTGTTAAACTTACCACTTGTTCCAGATGAAGATGCAGCTAAAGTAAAAAATTTGTTATTAAAAATAAATATTGCAATTTGAAATTAGTATTAAATCTATTATCATTACCAAAGGTTATGCTATACAAACTTACCAGTGGTAGGCTGTGTAGATTGGACTAAAGATAACAAAAAAATTGTGCAATTACACAAAACACTTTGAAATACTTTTAAAAAACAAGCTAACACTAGGAATGTTTATATAACTATGTAAACATTAAACAAAGATAAATAGTACACAAAAAGTAAAAAACATGAACTTAAGGTTTTTAAAGTACTTTAATATACTTTAAATAGTCTATTAACATCTACTTACTGTAAAGTACTTTATCTTTGTAATTAATGATGAACATGATTTTTTTTAAGAATAAACCCATAAATTATGTGATATATACTTACGAAATCGTAAAAAATCCACAAATAATGTGCAAGGATCTAAACAAGAAGTAAATATAAGGCATGCTTATATTTGGGGTTTCAATAAAATTGTCAACTGATAATATTAGTTAACAATCAATTCAAAAGAAAAATTTTTAATCTTAAACATTAATCTTTATGTTATTATCATTTAAAAAAAGATTAAGGTTTTACATTTATCAATATTGTTTTTGTTGTAGAAATAGTTGTTAATAAAAGTATTTTGAAAAAAAAGATTAAACTTACCTGTTAGATTAATCCAAAAATGTTTTATTTAAATTTTCCATGTTATTATAAATCTAATAATAAAAATCAAATTAATACATTAATGCAATAATTTTTGTTTTTATACTTCGCCCCCCGACCCGCCCCCGTACTTCGCTTGCCGAAAAAAACAACAACAGAATAACAGAAATTAGGTACCAAAAGTGCTACACTAATTAAACAATTTGCTCCTATTTATTTTTTGTTAAAATTTGGCATGTGCATAGGAAATGCACGTAGAAAACATTTTTAATAATAAAAAAAGGGGGCTCAACATTTCTTCGACTAAAAATTAATGTGAGAACATCAACCAAATTTTCATGCAAAATTGTCAGCAAAATAGTCCATTCAAAAGTATTGTAACCATACATAACAAATATATAAAAATCAAGATTAACTTTTCTTCTTTTAAAAAATAGTTTACGTTTATATATGTTTCTAAAAATAATTATCACAAAAAAACGTTTGCCTAGGTCTAACTAAAAAAAGTGTTATACTTAAAATAACACTAATTAAACTATTTGCTCCTATTTCTTTTTCGATGAAATATGGCATGTGCATAGAAAATGCATGTAGAAAACATTTTTAATGCAGTAACCATACATAAATGTCTTATAAAAAACAAGTTTAACTCTTCTTCTTTCCAAAAATATACTATGTGTATATATGTTTCTAAAAAGAAACTCCTCAAAAATACGTTTGCCTTACACTACCAAAAAAAAAGTCAAAAAAACGAGTCACAGAATTTTCGCACAAAATTCGGTTCCGTAAATCTCTATTTCCGCGTACCTACCAATTCTGATGATTTTGTCCAATTCACCTTTTTCAACCAAGACTGATTCTAATTGTTACATTAATGGATCCAGTATTTCTAGTAGGTTTAAGTTAGTTTCAGTATTTAATGTTTCTTCATCTAACAATGGTATTGTGTTTCTTGGTGGAAAAATCATGATGCCATCATAAAACATGAACAATCCGAAAGCCATGATTCTTAAATATCGTATTAAAGATTTTAGTTTAATGTCATTAATAGAAGCAAATGTCTGCTTAACGCCAGGGCCATCTTATCCATTAGGCACTAAAGGCACTGTGCCTAGAGCCTACGAATCTACAGGGGCCTTCAAAAGTGATGAATAAAAAAAAGAAATTTTAATATGTGTTTTATTTCATTATTAACACAATCATATACAGTAGGTGTGTAAAAATTTCTAATCATTTATTTATATTTGTATTACATATGGTTCGAAAGAGCTTTGATTTATATTAAAATAGTAACAATTTTACGAAAAACGAATAATTACAGAAAAAGTTATGCCCGTTTAAGCATAGTCTATAGAAATAAACCCTGGTCTGGAAATCTGCTGTTCTACGCGAATGTTATTTCTCGGAACTTAAAAAAATTAAAAAATTAGTCACGTGATCTATGTAGATGCAAGAAACATTTAAATGGCGATTTTTGAGGCGGTTCAAAATAATATGATTTTAATATGAAAGAAAACTTTGATACTTTCGACGAAGATCTCTTTGACGAAATATTTGAAGAGTATATCAATTAAGCATTTGAGTAGGTGTGCGATTTTATTTTCTTACATAAGTTTATTATATAAGAAAATAAAATCTCATCTTTATAATCTGATTGTATTACTTGTGGAAAAATTTGCAAGTCAAACGGAGGTTAAAAAGACACGCAAATTCAGCACATGCGTTGGTTAGCAATGTATCAAAATTAGATTGTTTTACAGTTAACATATTTTCAAATATTGTAAAAGAAGTGCAAAATGTTTTATTCTGTGACAATTGTTATCCTGAAGAAGCAAGGCAGACAATTAAAGAGTTTGAATACAATGATATCCTGTACAACGAAGTGAGCAAGTTATTAACTGAGTTCATATCATCAAGGAATGCTGACATATTTTTTATCAAAGTTTTATTCAAGCATTGTTCTATACGCCCATTATTTTATCTTTAATCTGGATAAGCGTTTATGTGCTTTATTCGCCCTTCATATTGGAAATCATATTTTGAGTTTTTATAAAAAACTACTAAACTCTCTTCATGAAGAATGCAACAAAAACCAATAAGTGCACAAGAGCTAGATGGATTGCAGTATTTAGCTGGTTATGTTATACACGAATTTATAAAACAAACAAGAAACAATAAAAATTTTTATTCAAAAATAAATCAGGACACAATGGCAATACTAAAAAAAAATTTACAGCAGATATGTTCGTTGATCAAAAATTAATTTGTTCTCAAAACAGAGGGGGCTTAAACTGCTGTAACAAAAGAGTGTCAATGTATTTTTATTGTAACGGGAGTTAGTTTCGCAGAGAAACTAGCAAAAGTAACTTAAAAAATTGCTAAAATGGTTAACTCCTTGATGGAAGATACAGAAATTATAAGTTTGTACAGCAATATTATCGAAACATTTGAAACTGAAAACTTAGTTGCTTTTGATAGTGATCTAGCTTATAACATTTTAGAAAATATGCTTCAACTTTATCTTCGCGTACGCTCATTTTCATTAACTAAAGATATTGTTCAGTTGCACAAAGAAAAGAAAAAAGAAAAATCTTTACGCTAAACTATCAAAAAAGCATCTCAGAAACTTTGTATACAAAAATAAATATTATTTAATGCAAAGAAAAACTATTTTTATAACAAAAAAACAAAAAAGTAAAATACATTTTTATTGATAAAAATACAACACTTTACTTAATTTCCAAACACTGCTTTAGAAGTCTTACAATAAAAAGTTGTGTCATCGTAATGACCTTAAGTATTTTTCAAAGCAAAATTCTTATCCTAACGTTTCTTAAGCTGAGTTTCATCTACAATATGGTCCAAGTTGGTAAACGTTTTGTTTTATGAGTACCTTTTGTGTTACCAGATACAGGTACAACAGAGCGCTGCATTCACAACGTATTTGATTGATAACCAAACTGGTGTATGTTAGGGTTATCATTTCTTCTTCCTAAACTACGATGTCTTTCAAAATGTTCCTTTAAAACATCTTGACTAAAGCGCTCACTAAGAACATAGGCATTCCAGCATTTCATAAGTATTTTGTTACTTCAATAAGAGAATAGGATGTAACTCTAAGTACCTCGTAAGTTTGGAAAGACAAACATTTTCTCTCGTTCATCGTTTGTAAAGTCACCAACACGTTTAGATACATTTTTTTTCTTAAGTTTTAAAAAGTTTAGAAAACTTTCTTTCAACCGTTAAATCGCTCATCATTAACGTTTTTATATGGTCCCAAAAAAGGCTTGCGTTTTGTTAAACTTTCTGAATGGTTTCTTACATTCATGCAATCAAAAAACTTATCAGCAAACTTGCACAGTTCTGCAGTTTTATGCATATAAGTAGGGTAATAACTTTCAATTACTTTTGACACTGTTTCACTTAATACTTGGGCAGCCTATCGAACATTCATTACTGAATATGGCGTCAAGTTAAAATGTTCCGATGTAAGTTTAAGGATAAGTTTTTAACCACGCTCTAATCCATCATTATAGAGTGTTTTTAAATGAGACCAAAAAATATCATTTTCGTTCCACATATGACGTGTAACATTTCCACTTAAACCTACAAAGGAGAAAAATTTATTTGTTGTGATATCAATATGATTATATCAATAAATCAGTATAAATATTTTTTATCAGGTTATAATTAATTCATGTATTCATAACTTAAAAAAATACCCAAAACATAAATTATCAAAAAATCATATTCACACAAACTCTAACAAAATAGGAAAATTTACCTGAATGATAAGGGCAATTTCTCAAAGTTTTTATAAGGTGAGGAGCATCTGCAAAAAACCAAATAAATCTATCATTTGCAAATAAATATTGTTCGGTATGTTACTTCACTCTCCACCAACCCATCCATCATACTATGCAATCGATAAAATTTTCTGTTGTTAGATGCGCCATCCGAAACTGATGCAATAACATAAAGTTTACATGTTAATTCCAAAATTGAAACAGCTTTCCAAAATGTCATCATAAGCTGATTTGATGTAATACCTTTTGTAGCAAAATATGCAAGACTAAACTTCAAATCAGATGCTATACCTCTAATATAATAAATAAGAGCGTAAGTCGCAAGTACACTTAAGTCTGAAAAAGTACTGTAGTTCATACTTGGATCGCCAAGATCCGCATACCCAATAAGTTCGTCTGTATATTTATCAAAAACTAAATCCTCTTGAATCCTTTTGATTTCATCAAAAGAAATAAGATTTGAAGTTTCATTCCGAAGATTATCTATAACTGCAGGATTGAAACCTACACAGGGTTTTATGGCATTTTTGTAATCTCTTAATGTTCTGAGACTTGGAAATTTTAATATTTTGGCAGATCGTAGTTCATCATAAGCAGATGCAGACTTCATTGCTATTGATAAACAAAATCTAAGTATCATAGGAGGATACCTCATCTTTGAATTTTGGTTAGGAAAATGCTTTTTTTGTTGTTCCCATAACATTTTCACAAATGGGGATATTTTATTGTCATCTAAGCTAATGATTTGTAACACTTCATCGCTATTGCTAGATGATACAGGTACTGATTTTTGATACAATTTCATGTTTCATTTTTTCTATTGTTTCAGTCAATTTTCTGCATTCGAGTCTTTTATCTCTCAATTGAGGCTATTAAATTTCAAGCTAATTTTTTTCTAAAGTAAAAAATATGACCTCCAGTCCCGATTATATGATCTCCGCCTTGAGGCGGACCTGGGAAGTTAAAACTAAAAGTTCAGTTTTATGATGGATCAAATAATTACAAATATTTTCTTTTTTATTATTTATTGTTGAATAATTACAAAAAATTTTATATCATTGTTTATGAAATATTGCAAAACAATTTTTCGCTGCAGTGCAACATAAATTTATATTACATTTAGAGCAAGTGATTTGCGTTTCTGATTTGCACCCAGGCAATTTACATTGGCGCTTTCCGGATCTGTCCAGCCACTGAGGAAAGTGTTCCTTGCCATCAAATCTGATGTCTGCAGCTGGTAAATATGTCCTCTTGCCCAGTCGTTTAGGGGCGGGATCTTCTTCTGCATTTGTTGATCGCGGTCTTCCAACAAATCTCTTTTGCGGTTCATCTGTTTGAAACCTGCAACGCATTGCAGCCACTTCTTATCTAAATTGTGGGAGTTGTATATTGCATGCTTTATTTTGTCTGTTTATGCTCTTATGTAATAAATATGCATTTATCATGGCAAAGTCCAACACATGATAAAAGAAACGACTAGTCCACTTTCCTGTTTTCATGCGAATATGATATCGACCCAAAAGACCGTCCATTATGTTGACACCGCCCATGTGTGCATTGTAATCGCGGATGATATTTGGGCAATCAATTTCTATTTTCTTCTTTTGGGCACGATCATATCTTGATGCCTTTAGGGTGTTATTACTTTCATTTTTAAATGGTAATACTCCTACGTATGTTTTGGCCAAACGAACACCTTTGTTGTCTTTCCACAGTGTAGTCGACAAGTCTACTCCATAACAAGACCCTATTACATACATATTAAGTTGAAAATCCTCAAGGTTTCTTCGCAACTTCTATATCTGTTGGCAATTTGCAATTTGCAATTCGATTTGCCCGAACGGTTTCCAAAGAATATATTCCTCTGTGATACAGATATATCATCAATGGCAAAGTCGAATAAAAATTTTCAAAATATACAATGTGATTCATGTGATCAGGGATTATTTAAGATAATCTTGAAACCACATTGGCTGCTGCACCTAAATCCGGTGATCCATTTGGAATTTTATTGTCACTTGCTCCAGAATATAACTCAAATCCGTATGAAAACCCATAGGTGTCGCACAACACGAACAGTTTCATGCCCCATTTATGTGGTTTTACGGGCATATTGCCGAATATGCGAAACCATTTTTGTGGAACACATCTGTTCGTCTACACACAGGCGTTGAGACATTGGTACCGACTGAAAACGTATATTGAAGTATTCAATAATTGGCCGCATCTTGAATATCGGATCAAAATTGGAATCCCCTTGCGCCGGCATTTTGGTATTGTCGTTGAAATGCAAATAACGACGTATTTCTTCAAATCGATTTTTGGTCATAGTTTTCCGAACTGGTTCAAACAAATTTTCTCCCCAATATTTTCGAGATGACGAAACCTGAAATTTCGAACCTGAATTTTCGAAAGTTTGGAATTTTCGAAAAACCTGAATTTTCGAAATTACGAAACCTGAAAATTTGCAAAATTCCTCCAAAAATATTTGTTTGCCCTAAAATACCAAATTACGAAGTAAAAAGGTAACAAATGATAAAAATACATCTTAAAACATTTATTTATTACAAAATAAATACATTCTAAAGATAAACTAATAAATTCTCAAAATTGCAACATGTTCATTGATTCATTGATGATCAGTGCCTCATAGCAGGCTACTCAACATTTTCTTGCTGTTATAATCAATGACACACTTCAGGAGTTGGCTGGAGTAGTCTGGATGGGTGTTCAATCTTTTGTATTGCTCCCAATGCTTTCCAAAATCCGAATGCAGTGCTTCAGTGGCTTGTTCACTGTATAGACCAAGGCTTTTCTTTTTCAGCTTGATGAACTGTGTCACATGGAGTAAAACAGTGTGAACCTTTAAAGTAACAGAGATTCCCAAACTCATGTAACTGTTTTTGAAGAAAACAGTTACATGAGTTTGATTTTTGATTTTTCCCTCATAGTTGGGATGTAAAATTTTTCCAAAGCATGCAAAGACAACTTCGTGAAAGTCTTTGAATATCTGAATGATTTGAGATGGCTCAGAAGTGCTCTCATTTCAGCTAATTTCTCAATATTCCTCAGAAGTTTCATGCAGTCATTGCCATTGAAGTGCCCTCCATGAAAAGGCTGAATCTTGATGTGCAATGAAGTTGGCCATTCTGTGGCCTTTGGCCATTTTTGCACTAAGCATTTGAACAGATGGATGACCACCCCTAGCAGAAGATGAAGCTTCATAGGTAGGATGAACTCCAAAATCAGTGCTTGATCAGGACCAAAGATTAAAGGACTGTGGACAACATTTTGGAACTCCTTGGATTTTCTTACATCTTCGTTCATAAAGCTTTGATGTTGAGCTCTTATAGCTTTTAAGGATCGGGGATTCCAACACAGAAAAAGCTTTGAAAACTCAATATCACACCAACAGCAAGGATGCTTGCTGCTACGAGACTGGATGCCACAAATAATGTTTGCAAGTTTCATATCGCAAGAAATTACTGCAGCTTCTGATGGGATTAGTTCTTGAAGCTTGATGAGTCGAAAAATCTCTTGCACATTCCAATAATTTTCAGGAGTGTCATCAGCAAAAGACACAAGAAATTGCTTTTTAACACTAGTTTGCTTTGAGACTTGTGTCTTGAGTTTGACAGATTTTTGAACAGGACTGTGGGGCTCTAGGTTGTTTTCTTTCTCATCAATAACTCCAATGCTCAATTATAATAATGACCCTCCTCCATCAATACATATCTTTGCAAAGACAGTCTTTGAGGAGCCAATTTCTTTTGAACTTGGCTCTTGAACAGGTTGTGGTTCATTTGCAATGAACCACAACCCTGTTTTCTCCGGAATCCGAAATCTTCAAGCTGCTGACAGTAAAAAAGTCATGCAATTTTTGTCCAGACTCAGCAAACTTTTTTTGAAAGTTTGGTTCAACTAATCTTGTTGGGTTGATATGGTTGATGAACGATCCAAGTTTCCTCATTCCGTTTTTAGACAATCCTGTATTCTGTTGAATTTGAACCATATCCCCTGTTAAAAGTCTAGAAGGAAAAAGCTCTTGAGCAACAACACCACCTAAAAAAACGAAATCTATTTGCATTTTTTAAAAAAGAATGTGTAAAGTATACATTTTACCTTTTCTGAATCCCACTTGATTGACAAAGTCGAATTGTTCCTCCAGGAGATGCTTTCTTGGATGCAACAACGGAAGATGCAACTTGTTCAGCTCTTTTAGGATCTGACAATGCCAGTTGCTTTAAGTTTTTATGGCGTTAACCAATTCCCAATAAGAAAAATGACGTCGGAACAACGTCCTAACGTCTTTGGTATCGTTGGAAAGACGTTAGCATGATGTTATAAATGAAACACCGAAATAATTGAATACAGAAATTAAAAGACTAAAAATAAATAAACATTGCATCACTTCTATTCCAAAATTTTAAAATTATATACAATAACTTAGAATAAAACTAGTTTGATTTTTACTTTCTTTCCAAATTTCAATCATATCTCCAATAATTCGCGTTTTCTTTGTTTGACACTAAAAGACAAATATATATGAAGAAACATAAAGTTGCAAACAAATCCAATTAAAAGCATTTTTAAGAACTAAATTAAAAACATTCGGAATAAACAAATAGAAATACCACAAGTACCAGAAATTGCGCAAACTTTCTAATTGATGCTAACCTTAGTTTTTCGGCTTTCGAAAGATGATCGACTGTAAATCGTTTAGCAACATTATCTGAAATAGAATAAACAATACCTCCATAAAATGCAAAACTAATGAAATTGCCTCTAAAATATTTTAATTGAACAAATAAACAAAATTAATTTAAAACACACCATCATGAAATAATGGAAAAAAAATATGGCTAGTTTTAACCTTAAAAGTTAAAAAATATTTTGAGTTCAGATTTTTGGAAAGTTATTTTTTTACAAGTGTTAATTTGGCAATATATTTTTTTATAACATGAATTGCATGGTAAATAAAGAAACTGATTTGGTACATTTTCACTAAGCAAAGAATCAAAAAATATTTTTATAAATAGCTCTCTTTAAGACTAATGATTACTTTGTTAGGTGTTTTTTCTTCTAATCCGAATTTTATTATATATCACTTAAACTCTTGACCATTTAAGCAAGTGGCATCTTCTTACCAAAAGCCAATAATTTTTTAAATAAAAAGGCAGACATATCAAGAAGCAATCATTCAGAAAACTATTAAAAATGAATAAGGTTATGTAAACTGTATGTTATTAATGTTGGACCATAATAATTCACAGCCTTAATAATCCAGTCATCCAAACCAATTTAATAGCATCAATGCATAACCAATGCGCTGATTCTGCTTATTTAATTTGTATCTTCAGTGCATAGAGACCAGTATACAAAAGAAATTGACTGTATAGCCTTTTTTTTTTAAAAACTCCGCCTGTGATCTAGACTTTCTGTTTTTAACAAAATCAGATGGTTTTTTACCATCTGATTTTGTTAAAAGTCATGAGACTTTTCAAAAATATGATTAATTTGATAATATGACAAATCACATACCTCTGGCTCCGTTTTTTCAAAATATCAATAATTGACAGACAACCCGAAAACAAGCTATATAATATAAACTAGATAATATAATACTAGATAATATGTCAAACTTGCGGTCCTTTATTAAACAAAAAATGATGTCGCTTTTTTTGCTTAAAAATATAATTTGCCATTTGTAAAAAGTGTTAAAGCTGAAGCAAATGTGTGGAATAAAAGTTCAAAATGCAAGTCAAAATTAACCAATCAATTAAAGATAATTCAAAAACATGTTATAATAAGTATAAAGTACTTATCAAGGTTTATTTAAGGTTTATTTCTATTTTATATTTTAATCCCTTTGTAATCGAAAATAAATTTAGAAATCATAAATTATTACTTAACAAGTACTCTAATTTCCTCTTAACACTTTTACATATATAGATTACATATATATTACATATATAAAAATATATTTACTTCATATATAAAAAAAAGGTTAAATAGTACTTGTTTATAAATTTAATCCGTCATTTGTAAAAAGGACAAAAGCGGCTTCACTTTTTGGATTGAAGTAAAACAACTAGTTTATATAAAATATCATTGGTAAATACACATGTGATCATTATGGAGCATACTTTTAATATCAATGGCTAGATGTGAAAATCAAGATAAATGTAATTACAATAATATTTCAGTATTCACATGATTAGGTGTTTTAGTAACATTTATTTCCTATGCCCATGTTGCTGCATTCAGACAAGCAAATTATATAATGAAAAATGTGCAACTAAATGTTAAACTGGCCATTGAACAAGGTCAAAAATTAAAAATCAGGACAAATATCAAAGGGTTTACTTAATGAGCACTTTTAATAGAGAGTTTAGTAAAATATAACATAGAATCACTTTCAAAAATATAAAAACTATTAGAATAGGCTTAAAGAAATAATCACTGATTAAACTTCAATAATTATCATTTTCTAACAAGCTGTTTATCAAACAATTCCAATAAACTGTTTGATAAAAAATTATATATATATATATATATATATATATATATATATATGTCTATATATATATATATATATATATATATATATATATATATATATATATATATATATATATATATATATATATATATATATATATATATATATAGTTACTTATAACAATTTCTTCATATATTGTTAATAACATTTTTAATACTTTTGACATGGATACTTTATAGTATTATAAATACAAAAATT